AAGCCGGGACGCCGGGAGGGCCGGGCTGGGCGGCCGCAGCGGCTGACGGCGCCCACGAGGCGAGGAGCCCGTGTCCTCCCCGCTGCTGGTGCCCGGCTCTGTCCCCGCTCTGCGGGTGATGCCCTGGGCACCGCGGTGCCTGTGGCCAGAGAGGGAGCTGGGGTGGTGGCACGTTCTGCCACGTGCGTTTGTCACGGGTAAGTGAAATGTGCCTGTGCGCCAGATGCTTCCCCACGCACCCGGCTGCCTCAGTTTCTCCTCGCTGCTTTCCCCTATCCTGGGTCTTCCAAAGATCCCGGCTCGTCTCCAGCACCAAATCGCTGCCTCTCTCTCCCAGCCTGTCCTGGGCTCTGTTGTTCCCCCAGGCCTGGCTCCGAGGGTGCCTCACAAGGGGTGTGCGGGGAGGCCCCTAGAGCACTCTCACTCCCTCCAGCTCCTCATGCTGGTAGCCCAAACAGCCCAGTCGCTAGCCCTGTCTGCCCCCAGAGCAGGCCCAGGGGAGGGAGGTCTCAGCCGGGCCCGAGCTGCTGGCACATGGGCCACTGCAGCCCCAGTTCCCTGCCCTGCTCCATCCTGGTGCGTTGGCCCCTTCCAGGTGCCTGTTCCCAGCAGAGGGCACTCGGCACCCGGGGGATCTCGAGGCACCAGCACTGCGTGAGCCAGGACTCTGGGGCCCCATGTGCCCAGTGGGCAGCTGGCGGTGGCATCCAGAGGCAGCGGGGCAAGCTGGAATGGGGGGTGGGCTACTGCAGGGCTCTACGGAAAGCAAACCGAGCAGCAAGGGAGCAGCTGCCGGCAGCACCAAGCTCGCCCCATTGCTCACTCGGCAAGCAGCGCGGTGGGCGCCCGTGCCCGCTCCGGGAGCCCGTCGGAGCAGGCGTGGGGAGCGACGAACCCCTGCGTCCTGCCAGCCCCGGCATATTGCACGTGTCTCCCCTGAGCAGGGCCCTGGCGGCTTATAAATAATGCAGCCCCTCGCCGTGCAATAAGGGCTTGTCAATCGCTATTCTGCTCTCATAAATTAAAGATGAAAAGGTACAAGGCTCTTGCCAGAAAAATGAAGACAAATTTTTAATAGCTTGCCAAGACGCGGGGAGATGGAGCGCTCGGGAAAAATGAATTACGTTTTTATTATGTGTTTTATTGTGCTGTAATTGAACGGGATTAGGCGAGAATACAATATATTTCCAGGGTGGTGCAAGGAAAACAAAAATAATGATGACACCCCTCCGCTGCTCCCCCCGCCAGCCTGCACATGCCATCGGCTGCGAGGGACGCCCGCCTTGCAGGAGAGCTGGAGGTGGGGACGGGATGGAGGCACGTGGCGGAGGCGGGATGGGGACACGGGTGCTCTGTGCAGCTGGGTCTGACCTGGTGCCCAGAGCCCCTGGGGGGCTTGGGGGGTCTTCTGCATGGGGGGCTCTGCTGTGCACCTCCACCTGCCTTCATCCCATCCCCACATCTGCACATGTTTTCATCCCATTCCCAAGGCCCTTCCTTCACCCCCTCCTAGCTCCCCATGCCCAATGAATGCTGGGTGAGACCTGACAAACTCATTTGTGCTTGGGGAGCAGCCCCCGACTGGTGAATATTGCTGGGGTTCACAAGGCCCGGCAGTGGCCCAGGATGCCGGGGTCCCTTCCTGAGCTCATGCCAGAGGTCACAGGGCAGCCCCCAAGGCTGGGGCCGCGGGGGAGGCGCTGGGCTGGGGGCATCGATTGGTCCCCGGCATTTTTAATGAGCTGCCCGACCACAAGCTTTAACCTTGCCCGTAATGAGGGCGAGCGGCAGCAATTCCTACCGCTGCAGCCAGCTCCCCCAGCCTTAATGAGCCAATCAATACTTGTTCTCAGCTTAATTTCCAGCTAATTGCTCTTTAATGACGCCTGGAAATGGGCAGCCTCTTGCGGGGAGGGTGGGCAGGAGCCCCCTCCCCACGTAGCATCCCCGCCGGGGTGTGGGGGTGCTGGGACCCTGGCATGGGTGCCGGGTGACCTTCCCTGGCTCCCGCATCCCGTGTGGAGCTGGCAGATGGAGCTGCCTGGGACTCGTGTCCCAGGACTGGGGAGGGACGGGGTGTCCCCATGCGCCCCATGTCTGGGGTCCAGTCTGGGCAGAAGCTAGGGGGGACAGCGGGTGCAGGAGGGCTGGCAGCTCCCAACCCAGGGACAAGTGCCCAGGGCACGATGAGCAGAGGGTCCCCGCAGCCTGGCAGGGTGTCCAGGCCTGTTCCCTGCCTGGGACAGGGACACTACCTTGTGGCGGGTGCATGGGGGGCGTTTTGGTGTGCAAGGGGCTGGGTGGGCTGGCGTGGCCACGCACTGCTCAGCCGAGCTGCAGGACCAGGCCTGGGGGCACGGGGCCAGGGTGTCACAGCAAGGGGCCGGGGACGAGGCCAGCAGTGCCCTGGAGGTGGCAGCAAAGACCCCGGAGCCTCCTGCCTGCACCTTGCCAGCACCCAGCCGCTTCTCCTGGGCTCCTGGTTCATAAAATCCCCCCAGCATTCCCGGGCCAAGGAGGGGCAGGGGGTGCAGGAAGCCCTAGGTTGGGCTCAGCCCGATTTCCAGCCCAATTTCCCTAGTTCCCCAGCTGTGGTGGTTCCCTGAGGCCCATTTGACTCATTCCCTGGGGCCTGTTTTGGCTCAGGTCCTTGGGGCTCTGACACCCACCTGAGCACTAAAGGCATTAGCGAGGGGGAGGCAGAAGGGAAAGGAGACCTCTTCCCCTAGCTGGGCTTGTCTGCAGTTAGAACAAGCCCCCACACTGACTTTCTGCCTGGAGGCACCACGGTGCCATGGCCCAAATGCCCACGGAAGGGCTGGGAGGGAAAATCAGGGCTGCTGGGCTCCCCAGGGTGAGTTTAGGGGTCTGATGTCTCCCATGCCTCAGTCTGCCCTGCGTTATAGCAGGATTCCTGCCTTGGGGGAGGTCTCTGGCATGCTCCAAGCTCACAAAGTGTCCTGCCTTCTTTCTCTCTGTGCACCCCTCATCCAACACAGGAAAGAGGAGGAGGAGGAGGCCCGTGTCCTTTCCAAATAGCATCGCCCCTTTCCCTCCTCCAGCCCTGTCGATGTTGGGGTAGCAGCCAGGCTGGGGGCCCTGACCCACCAAGCCCAGAATAGCTCCTGTTTGCTGCTGCGAGCGCCTGGCATGTGGCAGGATGCCTGAAAGTGCTAACCTGGCCCCTATGTGCCAAAGTTGGCAGGGCAGCGTCAGCTGGCGGGCGCACACAGAGCGGGGACTTATCCCAGTGGTCCACGGGAGCAACCCAGGAATGCGGCCCCCACTACCGGGTTTTGGTTCCTGGCCCTGGTTTATACGACCTGCGCTTGGACGGGGCTGGTGGAAAAAAGCCCAGTGAGAACCGAGGGGCTCCTCTGTGCAAGGAGCTGAGCTACATCCAGTGGGGATCCAATGGGAGGCAGCGGAAACTGAGACTTGAGAGGACGGAGAAGCAGAGCTGAGAGCTGGGAAGCAGGACGGTGCCTCTTGTCCTTCAGCAGCACCCAGGAGCCTCCTCCGCCTGGGCGGGAAGTGTGGACAGGAGACAAGTCCCTGGAGTCAGACGGATCCAGGAGCTGGAT